CAGATCTCTGGGGCTACTCTCCACTTTCCCCCCAACTAGAACATTCTATGAGATGCTCTAAGTTCAAGGAGACAACATTCTTTCAGTCCAGTTATCATAAGCTTGGTTCTAACCTCAGCAAAAACTGCTTTCTCTCAGCTAATACAGTGCAACAAAATGGGAAATGCCCTAGGAAAACGTGTCAGAGGCTCCTAACCATTGAAAATCAGGCACATTCCCTTTATGACATATTAAATACATTATAAAGAGTGATTAAAAATAGTGCAGACTCCAACACAAGCCATAAGATATACAGTATACTACCCTGAGATATTTACCAAAGTTCCTCTAATAAAGAAAAAAAATTTTTTTTCAACAGAAAAATATATAAAATACACATCTGGAAACACTACATAGTCACTAAAAATGAAAACTGTAAAGACCTCTAAGCTACTAGGAAAAGTAATGCTGACAGTGCTAAGGAAAGCAGATTCCAACAGCAATCATACTGTAAAGGTTAGATAAAGATGACGGAAACTGCAGAAAATAGGGCATGGAGAGTAGGGGAAGCAGAGAAGTGGTTCAGTGCAGCTTACAGTAACATGTTATTGTTTAGCACAACGCAAATTTCACATAAAAGTCATTCCTATGTAAAAGCTTGGTGGATCTTATTCACATTCCCAAACTGACTTTTATAGGCAGTTTATAAAGCATAATCTGGTGCGTTCCTTAAAAAGAACCATGCTAGTTGCTGTTAACTTAACTCCAGCCCTTCCAGTTAAAGGGAGGAAGGAACAGGGCAAGTTTCCTGACTGGCCAAGGCCCCATGATTCCAGCAGCAAGGGCCAGGCAGAGGCTCTGGGGACAGAATCCTGGCTGAGTAACCTTCCTTAAAAATCGCCCTGAGCAAACCAGTCAATTTAGCCTTATCTTTAAAATGCAGATAACACAAACTACTTCACAGAACTACAGTGGGGATTAAATTTGATGACTTTTAAGCACCTAGCACAGCATGACTTTTAAAAGGAAGTGATAGTTTCCATTCCTTGGGGGCAAAAATGGATGGCTCTTAAGGTCTCCCTCTACTCTGCAAACCCAAGGTCCCCCAGGTCCCCATAGCACAGAGCAGGAGGAGCCAGCTAAGCTTTGGCAAAAGCAAAAGAGGAAGGAAGTTCAAGCGTTCAAGCATGGCCTTCTGGTAGAGTGTGGGGAAAGAAGAGTGTTTTCTGTCTTTGTTCTTCCACCCTACCAATGCCTAGCACATAACAGGTGCTCAATTGAGTATGTGATCAGTGGACTAATCAGCACGCCCTCTGTCCTCAGCTGATGATCAGGAAGGAAAACAGGCAGGAAGCACCATCTATTTATTTGAACTAAAGCTCAGGCCCCTTGCACTGTGAGACTCCGGCAGCTTATTTCTGTGCTGCATACAGGGTGCTAGCATTTACTACTATGGAAGATACATTTTTCTGAGTGTTAACTTCAGTGATATTTACCAAATATGCCTCTGAATGGTCCCATTTCAAAAAAAACTCCAGAAAACACTGCTTTTCATAAACAAAAAGAAAACAAAATGGCCCCAGTAATACTTTCTTATCTCTATCCCCACCTACTTCAAGTAGCCTGTATCTATTCTACTTTAGTGAATAAAGCTGAGTCTTTTCTAAAACAAAACTGTATACTGGAGGTAAAAAATTCTAAACCATAACTTTGAGTAAAGGAAAACTCTCAAGAGCGGTTTAAATGTAATATGCTTGGCTTATTCTATTCCAATGATGTTCTAATCTTTTTTATTAATTTACTCTAATGTTCATAATTGTTTTAGGCCACAATTATCTCACTGTTTCCTGGCCTGTGTACCTGATCAGAATCGTTATGATCTCTGAGGTTTTCTCCTGATTTTTGAGAATCCTGCTCTGCTATGGATGGGGTGGCCAGCAGAACAGACACAGACCAACTAAGGAGCCTTTTAAATACAGGACTATTAAAGTGGCAAATCATTGTCCTTTCTGTGACCACCTTCTGGGGCTCCGTGATTACATGTTAAACAACAGGATCAGATGGGAGCATTTTGTAGCTGAGAGACCAATACCAGAAAAATTCCCCTTTACCCCTTCAACAGTATGCTCCTGCCTATTTACAAGAACATTTAGCATCATTTCCTTCTCAAATGGGCCATCCTGTACTCTGGAGCTAGAAGACAGTACGAGGAGAACACTGACATTCAGTGCCTACCAGTTTCTCTCCTAGGGAGCTGCACTGTTGACAGCTCTTAGTAAGAGATCACACCCTTGCCTTTACGAGGTATTTCTGTCATTTTATATAAAAGCACAAAGACACAGTGGTCAGCACAAGAGTACAGCCTGTGGAAAGCATAATCACTGTCAGAGGACATCAAATCCAACACACTGGTGGGATGGCAGGAAAGCAGACTTGAAAGGAGTTCAGAGTAAATGAGTCTCCTTGTTTGCTTGTTACTCATAACATTAGGCCTAAGCTGCTTTGCTGAAACACTTAGCTCTGTGCTTTCCAAGCCATAGAAATTATACTTACTCCAATGTGTGAGATTAAAACCCACTGCACACTGAGCTGAATGACATTCGATGTGCAGCAATGCCACTTCAGGCGGTTCATCACGTTGCTTTATTCATAAGGCTGGGAGACAGGGTGGAACCACACGAATTTAACATCTTGCTGTGCCTGAAATGTTCATTAAGTGCTCTTATCTGCAGTCACCTGCCCACCCGATAGAACCACTCTCCACTAATTTAGAGACAATAATCTGTGCACATTTAAATTACGATGAACAGGAACATTTCCACTGGAAAAATCATCACACATCTTGATTTGCACTGCCAATTAGGTCTTTAGAAAAGGAAAAAAAAAAAAAAAAAAACCCTGATCATCTTACATAAAGTAATTTGCCTTAATTGGTGCATAATGGATCGGATATAATTTGTGGGTAACCCCTACATGATAAATAGTTTATTTAACATTTTAGAACTACCAAAAATTAGCCTCATTATGTGACAGTGAACGTTCACTTCCAACTATACATTCTGGGACTTCTGAGTTTCCTAAGCATGAATTATGAATATCAGTGGTGGAAGTACAAAGGACTCTCCAGCCTAACAACAGGAGCGATCCATTCCAGAAACATTTTCTGATTACATTCACAAGCAGCTCAGGATAAATCTCAGATACATTTCCTGATGAAACTCACAAGGAGCTCATATCTCCATCCAGAGGGTTTGTTTTTTGTTTTGTTTTGTTTTGAGTCCTGTAGCAGCAGAAACTCCTAGAAGGTTAGGACGCTGGCCGGGAGTGGTGGCTCACGCCTGTAATCCCAGCACTTTGGGAGGCCGAGGCGGGTGGACCACCTAAGGCCAGCAGTTCAAGACCAGCCTGGACAACATTGTGAAACCCTGTCTCTACTTAAAAAAAAAAAATACAAATATAAATAATTGGGCGTGGTGGCGGGCGCCTGTAATCTCAGCTACTCGGGAGGCTGAGGCAGGAAAACTGCTTGAACCTGGGAGGCGGAGGTTGCAGTGAGCGCCATTACACTCCACCCTGGACAAGAGCGAAACTCCGTCTCAAAAAAATAAAAAAAAATTGGATGCTAATTTTTTACGGTATTAAAATTAGCACAGTAATTTAATTTTTTACGGTATTAAAATTAGCACGGTAATTAAATGTTTTACGGTATTAAAATTAGCACGGTAAAAGCTAGTGGCAAAAAATAAAAAATAAAAAATCGAACCCTGTCTCATTCCCTAGGCTTTACTGTTTGTTTCCCTTGCTTTTCAGAGTTTCTCTCACAGGAGGCATTTTAAAAATATTCTCAGAAACATCAACAACAGATTTTTCTCAAACGACCATTTTCAGGAAGGCTTCAGAAACTACTAAAAGGCCAAAGCTACCGTTAGTGGCTCGGTCTTTGCCGCCGGACTCGGGCAGGTGACAGCGGCTTGGGCTCGGGCACCTGGCACTCAGCGCCTTCCAATGCTGGCGGCCCCGCCTCCCCTTCTCCCCGGCCAGGCACGCAGGTGGAGGAAAGTAAACACCAGTCGGAGGCAAAGTGGAAGCAGTGAGTCTAGCGACTCTCACAAAAACAAGTGGAAAAAAAAAAAAACAATCCTCGCACAAAGCATCTCTGTGCTCACAAGCAGAGGCGTGGCTGCTTGTTTCCCTTTTTAAAGGTTGCATTTTTAGTTCTTTTTAAAAATGTTTTTATTGCTTACTTCTAAGTAAACATTTATCTCCATTACGATAACGTAGAGTAAAGCTCTTTTAAGAGGTAAAAAAAGAGAAAACTGAAGTCACGTTCACATTCCCACCACTCACTGAAACGTTTGGAGGAACTTACTCAACTGTTTGCTAATGAGTTTTAAAGGATAGTTAGGCCCTTAACGCGTAATTGGGGTCGTGCTGTGCATATGATTTGGGATCTTGCAGCTTGTTTAACTTGGCCCAATGACGTTACCATTTCCCCCAAATGGTTACTAATTCCTTGAGAACGCTTACAAAAGTTCTAGAATAAACACTAAAGTTACTCTTTTTAAACTCCATTATCCAAGTTGGACTGGTCTGGCGATCGACTATTAAAAAAAAAATACAACTTTCTTAAGCTTCCTGATCTCTGTGCCAATTCCCGGAGAAAGTGTGGGGAGTGCACAAAAAAGCCCCTCCCCCGTCTCAGGAGGGCTGCAAACGCAAGCGCTGCGCCCCGCTAGCTCCCCGCCTGCACCCCTGGCAGCCACCCGAGACTAAGCAGAGCGCCAGGCTGAGCGCAGTTCTGTGCTGGGGCGACCGGACTCTGTGGTCCGCGTGGCACAAACGTGACCCACCGCGCACACCTGCAGGGCGCGCCCACTCCGGCACTCACTCGGCTGGGCGCGCCAGATTCCCAGCAGAGCAGCCAAGGGCCACGTTTCCAGCCCAAGGCCAGCAGGACCGAGTCGCAAAGGGAAGTCAAACTGTGGGTGCTTCCGGACGGCGGCGGACGGCCGGACCCTCACCTGGTAGCGAGTCGCCAACTCCATGCTTCCTGACGGGGCGCCAGTCTCCTCCCAGCACGCGGCCACGGGAGCCCGGACTCGCCACGGCCCGGCGCACCAAGAACGCCCCGCGCCCGAGCAGCTAGCGCGCAGCGCCCGGAGCACAGGCGGGCCCCGGGAGGGGCGCACTCGGCGCCCGGGACAGGGGGAGCGCGTCGCGCTGCCCGCTCGGTGCCGCCTCACTGGGCCTCGTGGCTCCGACCACCGTGCCAACTTCGCGGCCACTGACCTTGTCTTCGCAGGCGGCGCGAGAGGGGGCTGCAGTTGGGGGCGGCATGAGCAGTTACCAGTGTTAGGGCGCCGGGTTCCCCCCTGTAGCGGAGGGAGGGAGTGGAGCCGTCCGGCGGGGTTTAGCGCGGGAGAAATGAGGGGGCTGTCCCGGCGCAGCCTCCAGCTGGCACGCGCGCAGGATACTTGGCAGGGTTTATTCCAGGTCATGCCCTGGGGCTCGAGCTTCTGCTGCAACCCCTGTCTCTGATCCAGGAAAATATTGTAGGGCGGTTTTGGGGCTTGTTTTGTTTTGTCGTTGTAAAGGGGCAGCGTTCTCTTTGGGAGGATTCCGTCTCCCAAAACATTTGCTACAGGGTTCACTTTGCAAAACGGGCAACCCAGGTTTCTTTACCAGGGCCCCGGTGGACACTGCAAATCCCCCTGAAACTTTAAACGGCCATTACACAGTAGGCCTCCACACCCACCAAACAGAGTTTGTAGAGGTCAGGAATGCTGATTAATTTAGCAGAATTGACCCCGGCACCTACTAAGCATCAGGCACTGGGTTAGTCCTAGGAACAGAAGGGTGAACAAAAACAGGCCCCTGCTCTGTTGGAGTTTACAGCCTGAGAGCCAGTTACCAACCTAATTGCATTATTCTAAATAAATACAACAATGATGCAAATAAGCGTAATAATAGCAATGATGTAAATTTTATAAATTAGATTTATAATTAATATTAATTTGATACCACTAGCAATGACAAATGTAACGATGATGCAAATAAATGTCAATTTGGAGCGATGATGCCATGAGAAAAAAGGCAAGTGGTATTATGGTGGTGTAAAATAGGGGGACAATCTGGGAGAGGTCAGGGAATACTTCTTAGAGCTCAGGTATGAAGAGTGAGGAATTAAGTTTGTGGAAATTGTGCGAGACTTGAAGTAGAGAGTGGGGAGAATGGTAAATGAAGTTGTCCTGAAATCACAGCAGTTTTGCTGGACAGTGTCGAACGCCTATTTAGAACCGTGGTCATGGGTTTACAATAGAGCATCCTGTATGCATAGGACCTTCTGCAGCCCCTCTCAACTGCTTAGGATCTGACGTTCATCTTTATTGAGTGAGTGAATGAAATTTGCTAAACATTTACTCAAGCTTTAAGAGAAAACATGGAAAAGGTTTATTTCCTTTGGTTAGTTCAGCAAACAACATGTGTTATGTGCTCTCATGTTCCAGCCCTCAGTGTTCTTACTTCTGGTAGTAGTAAGACCAATACAACATTGTCTAACTTAAAATGTTTTATTTTTATTGGATAATGTTAATTATCCATTGTAGCTACTTCATTTTGATTATGCTTTAGAGTTTTCTCACATGCAGTATCTCTTTGAATCCTCTCAATATCCTTCCAGATTCTTATTGTCCACATTTTTAAAATAAGGAAACAGAATCTAAGAAAATACATTAAGAGATCCCTGCCACCCTGCCACTAAGTGACAGCAGCAGACTGCCAAACTGAAAACCATTCCTTATTCCTCCAGATCCAACATTCTTTCCTTTTCTTGTAGTTTTTCCCTTTGGCTGCCAGGAAGCTTAGAGTGAAAATTAATTCAATCAGAGCTCTTCTTCCTTGTTTTTGTTTTTGGTGGTTTTTTTTTTTTTTTTTTTTTTTTTTTTTTTTTTTTTTTTTTTTTTTTTTTTTTTTTTACATAATTGCTTCCTCATGAACTGCTGATCTTGTTTGCACTCCTTTTCATTGTAGGTTAAATCAAATCCATTTTGGAAAAGGGAGCACAAATTTGAAGCAGGTTAGATTTTGCAAAGCACTTGAAGCAGCGTAGCCTAGCTACTTCTGTATCAGGAAACCTATAAGTTGTTGAGCCTTTCTCTTTAGAAATTTGCCATAACCAGCCCTAAGTCTTCAGATGACAACCCGGAAATTTTCTTCCTGGGCTTAGCAAAGCCTGTGCACCCTTGATGGTATTTAGTAATTGGTTATATAGTGGTGTGTTTTGTTTTGTTTTGGTCGGGCTTTGGGAAAATCCCTAAGGAACCAGAGGATTTTAACATCACACTTTCTTTTTTTTTTTTTTTGAGACGAAGTCTCGCTCTGTCGCCCAGGCTGGAGTGCAGTGGCCGGATCTCAGCTCACTGCAAGCTCCGCCTCTTGGGCTTACGTCATTCTCCTGCCTCAGCCTCCCAAGTAGCTGGGACTACAGGCGCCCAAAATAGGGGGACAATCTGGGAGAGGTCAGGGAATTAGTAGAGACGGGGTTTCACCGTGTTAGCCAGGATGGTCTCGATCTCCTGACCTCGTGATCCGCCCGTCTCGGCCTCCCAAAGTGCTGGGATTACAGGCTTGAGCCACCGCACCCGGCCAACTTTCTAATAATTATTATTGATAGGGTTCCCAGGATGTGAACACTGGGTTTCATCATGGCACTGCAAGAATGAGTGTCCCTTCCCAGATGCAACATGTACATATTGCAACAGAGAAAAAGACATAATGTTTGCAACTTCCTTTAAGAAGTCTGTCAGAAATCTATGCTTGATTGCTTTTTAAATGTTTCTATGAGAGAGTAAAAACTTGGTCCCCAGTACCTTGAACAAGGTAAGAAATTTGTGATTAGAAGGCAAAGGAGTTAATAATGCCACACTAAAATATGCTGCTCTGGCGTATTGACTATTTTAAGTTAAAAGCACTTACAAGGAAAAAAAAAAACAGGTACAAGAAGATCACTCTGAACTTAATGTTGTTTCTTAAAAGCAGGCAATAAAATTCCCCTGTGAAAGATGTCTTCCCTACACAAGAAGGAAAGCCACATGCTTATCAAAGACAGGAAACTGAAGCTGAGGGAAATCTGTACAAACAAACCTTGTTACACTAACCCTTATCTTCTTAGACACTTCTCCATCCAATTAACTACACTAGCCCATGCCCCTTTGCCTTACTGCATTTTCAGTTTACTACTCTGTGCAATTCACTATATAAATGTCCAACTCGAACTTCATCCTGGGGTCTTCATTTCCTTAAGAAGGCACCCATGCCACATAAAACTTCGATTAAACAAATCTATATGCTTTTATCTTGTTCATCTATTTTATGTCAGTTTAATCCTCAGACCCAGCCAGGACTCAAAAGGATGGAGATGAAGTTTTACTCCCCTACAAAGCCATTATTTAACCTCATTAAATGATGTGAGAGAGCTGTGATTGGATGTCAACCCTGGCCCACAATTTTTGCTTTGTAAAAGGAACCCAAACATCTCTCCTCTATCTGAAGTAGTATCTCTGCCTTCCCCACAGACCTTAGTTGTGGGCAAACTCCCTAGTCCTCCCCACATAACAGAAAATCGTGCTGGTTTGGTGCTCTGGACAACTCACCAGAGAATCTACCTTCCAGCAGAGAGCTGGAAGCAGCATGAGCAACTGAGAGGTAATTTCATTAGGTCTGCCTCCCCTGCTTGCTTTTGGTCATTTGCCTCTTGGTGTTGTATCCTTTTCCCATGAAGTTGAAGACTGCAGTTGCTGAACACCGGGCCACTGAACACTGAAACTTAACCCTCACTGGCTACTTTATAGGTAATATTCATAGGTCACCATGGTAATTATTGCTTCTTTTTTTTTTTTCCAGAAACTTAGGCCAGCTTCTGTCCAGTTCAAACTGGTTGAGACTACCAATTCTTCAAGTGGCTGAGAGATGTCAGAGGGTCAAAAACTCCAACCTCAGATTATGCTAACACTGCCATTTTTCTGTACACACCTCCTATATAATGCCATGAACTCTGGCTACATTTGTGCAGGATGAGCCTGTTACTTCATTTTTTCCCAGTGCCAATTACATTTCCCCATACCTCAGACCACCCCATTTCCCTAAACCATAAATATCCCTAAGCCTTATCTTCAGGGAGGCTTATTTCAGAGCTATTCTCCCACCTCCTCACTCCATGCCCTTGTGAATAAACCTTTTTTTTTCTTTTGCAAAACTCTTGTCACAGTAATTGATTTACTGTTCAGGGCAGAATACACTAGGACCTAGCTGGTAACAGTATCTGAGTACTACTTAGCATTGTATGTGGTCATGAATAAATAAAGTGACGGTTAAACAAGAAAGCATCACTGGTTGTTCTCTAGCTCTTGGTCTCTTGAAACTTCCATCTCATTGTGATTAGATAACACCTACCCTAGAAGGGGGAGACCTCCCTAAATTTGAAACATTCAAATATAAAATTTCCAAGTTGCTAAGAATCAAAGATCTAGAATTGAGTCTTTTGTAAAATCATCATCTAATACTGACTGGGTGCCTTTCTCAAACGTTTTTCTTTATTATTATTACAACCTGGTATTCCATTTTCCTGACTTGGCATGTCAAGATGTTGTTGTCACAATCTCACAATGTAAGTACACTCTGATGAAAATCGCCCTGTGGCTAATGACAAAAGAACCTGGACAATCAATAATCAGATCTGTCCATATATCAGATGCAGAAAAATACACATCATGATGAAACTTTAATGCCTGTGGTCTTTCAAAAAGTCAATAGTAATCGTGATATCAAGAATAGCAGCTAATTTAAAGAGTACTCACCATGCTCTAAGCCCTGCACTGAATTAACCTTTGAATCTGTTCCCTCCTTGAATCCTTCAACTGAGAGTTCTACATCTTTTCAAAACTAGTGCTGTAAAAGTAAGTAAAAAAGTATTTTTAAAGTATTTGGGATTTCTTAAAGATGCTATGTAAACTCCAAATACGATTAATGCAACCCATATTACATAGGTTTTTGCAATAGATAGTGCATTATTTATCATTTAGTATGTGAACATAAAATATTATTTTGACTAGGCACTGACAATAAATGAGTGAAAATGAAAACATGTTATTCAATAATTCTTATCTTTCTATGAATTTAGGTCTTATAAAAGAAAATTTTTAATTTCTAATTAGTGGTATCAACAAAAGCACTCTAGTACATAGATTTTAAAGAACTACATTTTTCTTCATAATCATTTAGGCAGTATACTTAAAAATAATCTATAAAATGTCAATATACAGAG